ATCTCTTTCTTCTGTTGAGTTGATTTTGCAGGACTACTTTTATTAAAGTAATTAAAAGTAATATGTATTCTGTTATTGCTAGTAATAATAATGTATAAGCATCTGTGGCTGTCCTAGTATACTTTAGTAATGTTCACTTTCAGTGGGGAATCTATGCAACTTCTCGTGTCCGTAAAGCGTACCATTATTGTGTAGACTGAATACTTACATGTTTTGTTTGCAATACATGTACATGTACATGTAGGTCATTTTGTGTTGTGATAATAAAGCATGTTGTATGTATCTTAGAAGTGTCACTTATGACATTCAATTATTTTTTAGGTCAACTCCAATCACCAATGTTGATAGGAGTTGTATGTTGTATGTTAGCAATGCTTGTATGAGTAACATCATAGCATTACTAAGTAGGATTCACCCTAAAACAATATAGCTCCCACAACTTTTCTAGCCTTGCTAAACTGGGAAACGGGCTCCCTATGCTTACCAGACTTTGTAGGAGACCTAATCTTGACCAGAGGACTCCATTGGTACCACTAGCGTGGCTCTAAACCTTGTATGAGTAGAAAGTCAAAAATCTGCAAAACGACCACATGGACCAGTTTTGTTCAGTAAACTTCAGTCCACTTTTTTCATCTTCATCTCCTGTCAATCCTGTATCTCAATCTTGGCTGGTACTAAATGCTATTTTTTACACCATTCTACTCCAACAGTACATGCGCAGGTCCATGCATGTCCCATCAAATCATTCTCCCAGAAAGGTAGAAGTGGCACTATGAGTCTTCTGGATCACTCATACTTTCCTGTGCCATCGTTTTGTTAATTAAAGCAGTGTGTGGTTCAAAATTGGAGTCAGAGATGTGTCAAGCATTTTTTGGCTTAAGCCCATGCAGATTTTGAAGTAATTGAAGGTGATTTAAAACCTTTTAGAAAAAAAGAGCTTGGGCTTGTACTTAGTTGTATATTCCTCAGCTTGGGCTGACCCTTAAAGCCCAAGTGTTTTTTTCATTTGTCATGATCGCCTCATTATTAGTAATCATTACACAATAGTATGTGTATGTGTGGACAATTCAAGAGACAATTAAAATAGTCCACACCACATTCAGTGAGATCATTACTAATGGAACCAAAACTACCTGCAATTTATGTTTATTAATCATTTAAGGAAGGCTTGTAAAGAAATATAAGTACACGCTTGTAATTGAGTTCAAAAGAGATTGTTGTAATTGTGCTTGTAATTGCCTGTTTGATGAAAGTCTTTGGCTGTTGCTTAAGCTCTTTAATAGCGTAATTGACAAAACTCTGATTGGGGTGTGGCCACTCAAGCTCAGGTCTCAGAACTGAAAAAAGCAAGTAATTTTTTAGGAATATTATTACACTGTTACGCTTCCTTTTATTAAGTATGTGATCAACAAATTGTATTTTAAAAACACAAACAATAAGTAATTATTGTGAAGCAATGATCATGACCTTGTAGTGCTTGGAACAACAATCAACAAGACATGATTGCAGTACTTCCACTGCTTCTTGAACAAGAACACATGTTGAGATTATTACTATGTTATACTTCAGTGTGTTTGAATAAACACTGATCAGTATAGAATTCCTTCAGCATAACTATTTACCACAATAAATGGCAATGGACACTATCTAAAAGAATATTACAAATACCATATAGCTAGAGATTTATGTGGCCCAAAATTTCTGCAAATTGCCAAAAAATGGCTTTTGCGGATTTTATTTTTGCAAATTTACTTGATTACACTAATGATCAATGGCTGCTCTTCACTACTTACCAGAACTATAGCTAATGATGACACAAAGCTCCATTAGGATATTAAGCAAGATAGAATTATTTTTTGACTCTGCTTAAAATACCAGGAACACGCCATGTGCTTCACTATAATTACACTGAGAAAAAGCATGGTGAGCCACACCTTTTAATTTACCTATTTTTGAGGATTCAATTTTTGCGAATTTTATCAAATTCACAAAATTTGCAAAAAATTTGGGCCACAGAAAGTTTTAGCTATATGGTATTATAAAGAAAATTAACACAAACAAGAACATAAGAATTTAAAAAAACAAGATTAAGTAGGAATCCAAACAACTAATGAAAATGCAAATAAAAATCCTTCTCTCGTAATGCAAATTCTTCTCTACGTTGCAAGGTGATCCATAATTTCTTAAATGATAACATTGAAAGTACAATGTAGAGTAGAATTTGCATCATGGAGTAGGATTTTCATTTTTTATTTCTGTTGGTCGTTCGGAATCCTACTTATTATTAATTTGTTTTTTTTTATTATTTTATGTTTTGTACATGTCCTTGGCAGGTTATAAGAACAACAGACACTGTAATATCTTTGTCAGTATTAATGCATAAGAAATGAAACACTTAGTTTCATAGCTACATTACTTGTCTTATACATCAGTAAAGCATGATTATCTCCCAATGTTCCTCAATTCTGCTACAGATTGAATGATGTAATTTACTTGTATTTTGCAGAGAATGTGTCTGTGAAGGTCAGAAGCCAAAAGCAAGTAATGTCTGTTGAAGCAAAGACACCACCTCTAGAAAGTCTTAGCAATGAAGTTGCTACCATGCCATCTGCATTTTCTGACGAGGAGGCAATAACAATTGAAGATGACTTACCAGTGATAGAATACATGGCCCCTGAGGATAGTAAGTACAGTACATATTTACATGGTAGTATATGCACTTTATGCTGATTTAGAAAGGGATACTATTTTCTGTCTACAGCGATATGCATCCATGTAGAGTAACGGCTTATTAAGAGCCACCAGGTACTAAAGTCCATTTGCATTCACCTAAGCCCTCATTTTCTTCCTATAAAAATTTTGACTTGCATTTAAGTTTTAAGAACATAAAAAATTTAAAAAAAACAAGGTTAAGT